CAGCTGGCTGTCTGGTGCAGTCACAACAACCTGGAGCTGAACACGCTCAAAACTGTGGAGATGATAGTGGACCCCCCTGCTCTCCCCCTTCTCACCATCATGGACAGCAGTGTGGCTGCAGTGGAGTCATTCAGATTCCTGGGAACCACCATCTCAGGACCTGAAGTGGGATATTCACATTGACTCCATTGTGAAGAAGGCCCAGCAGAGGTTGTACTTCCTTCGTCAACTGAAAAAGTTCCCTTCAGGCAGATGCTACAGGTCTCTGTGCCCTAGAACATCTAGGCATAAAAACAGTTTTTCCCCTCATGCCATCTCCAGCTTAAACAGCTAACAGATGAATCATTACCTGTGTTCTGTAATTAATTTCTGTAATTCATTCTACATCTTTAAATATTGCCTCTTTCTCAAGTATTATGTAAATACAAACGCATATCTCTTTATTTATACAACTGTATATAGAGTAAATAATGCACAAATCTGTACATAAATCTACTGTTCCACATTCATACACAAAATTCTTGCCTGTATCAGTCAGGCGTACAGTTGGGAACGACCTCCAGAAGGAAGGTGGTAACGACGGATGCCTCCGGCTCAGGCTGGGGTGCTCTGTACGAGGGCAACCCGGCATACGGTTCCTGGTCGACCCACAAGCGATGCCTACGTATCAACTGCCTCGAAATGATGGCAGTTTGTCTAGCCCTGAAAACCTTCCTGCCTGCCTTAAAGGGGCACCACGTCCTGGTCCGGTCGGACAACATGACAATGGTGGCCTATATCAACCGCCAAGGCGGCCTCAGGACATGTCCCCTTCACAGGATGACTCGATGTCTCCTGCTTTGGGCACAGAGAGAACTCCTCTCACTACGAGCAGTTCATGTACCGGGCAGACTGAACCAGGGAGCAGATATGTTGTCAAGGGACAATGTAGCTCCAGGGGAATGGAGGCTATATCCCCAGATGGTTCAGATGATCTGGTCAGTTTTCGGCAGGGCAGAGGTCGACCTCTTCGCCTCCGAAGACAACGCTTTGGGCACAGAGAGAACTCCTCTCACTACGAGCAGTTCATGCAGCTCCCTGGCAGACTGAACCAGGGAGCAGATATGTTGTCAAGGGGCAATGTAGCTCCAGGGGAATGGAGGCTATATCCCCAGATGGTTCAGATGATCTGGTCAGTTTTCGGCAGGGCAGAGGTCGACCTCTTCGCCTCCGAAGACAACTATCACTGCCCAATCTATTTTTCGAGACAGCGGGATGCTCTGGCCCACGATTGGGTCATGACACTCAAAACTGCTCTGCTTTTGGCCCTGGCGTCAGTTAAGCGAGTGGGCTATGTACCAAAGGTGCTCTCAACTCCGTTTAGAGCCCAGGTCATTTCCCCTTTAGCCCTCCCTGAAATGGATGGCAAGCAAGGTCCCAATGTAATTAACTAGTTATTTGGGGTCAAGTTGTGTTTTTTTTTGATGAGAGGTTTAATAACAGCCAGTTTGAAGGTTATGGGGACATATCCTGATGACAATGACGAATTAATAATAGTCAGAAGAGGATCTATGACTTCTGGAAGCACCTCTTTTAGGAGCTTAGGTCATGACACTCAAAACTGCTCTGCTTTTGGCCCTGGCGTCAGTTAAGCGAGTGGGCTATGTACCAAAGGTGCTCTCAACTCCGTTTAGAGCCCAGGTCATTTCCCCTTTAGCCCTCCCTGAAATGGATGGCAAGCAAGGTCCCAACTTGCTATGCCCTATCCGGGCACTGCGAGTTCACATTACGTGTTTGAAGTCATTCAGTCAGTCAGAGCAGCTTTTTGTGTGCTTTGGAGGCCGCTCTAAAGGGCTGCCTGTCACAAAGCAAAGGCTATTTCATTGGATAGTAGACGCTATAGCTCTGGCTTATGCCTCAGCTGGCTTGCGATGCCCTTTGGGTGTGAGGGCCCATTCCACCAGAGGAATAGCCTCCTCTTGGGTCTGGTCCGCCGTCTACCTTTATTAGATTCTACAATTTGGACGTCCCTGCCCTACAGGCGCGGGTCTTATCCGCTTAATGCTTACTTCCCCCAGGAATGTTCCCGGGTCTCTTTGTGGCTCAGGCTTATGGAGCCCTCGCTGAGTGTTCGTGGGCTGAGCTCGTGGAGCAGGCTAAGTTCTGCATCTTATAGCACGACGCTACTGGATACGTTCCCCAAGCAGTTGTCAATGACGACGCAACGGTTGTTACCTTTCGATAGGGAACACTCCGGTTACTCACGTAACCTCGGTTCCCTGAGATAAGGGAACGAGCGTTGCATAACTGGCCGTGCTATAGTTACACGTGAAGTGATGGCTGTCACTTCAGTCGTTGATTCTGATGAAATGGCGCTCTGGGCCGACTTATATAGCAGTCGTTGGTTTGTGCAACTACACAAATGTTAACAAATGAGGCTTCAGTAACAGAGAAAACAGGAGTTTCCCCAAGCAGTCGTCAATGACGATGCAACGCTCGTTCCCTTATCTCAGGAAACCGAGGTTACGTGAGTAACCAGAGCGTTTTTCCACAACATGCCATTTTTCACTGATAATCTTCATTTATATTTGCATATGAAGATGAGGATAAAAATAAAATAAGCTTGTTTTAAGGAATTCTAATCATAGCTGTTTCCGGTAAGCAGTCTATGCTGCTGACACAATGAAAAAAGAATACCAACTTGGACAAGAAGACTTAAAATGCCAACTATTCGCATTTTAATGTTCCAAACAACATTTGAGAAGCTGTTTGACAAACTGCCACACAATCACAGTTATAAAAACCCAATATCTGCGGTTGGGGGTTCTCAAATCAATAATATTTTTAAGAGCTTTAAATAATATTCTTTAGTTACCATATGCAGAATTATCTAACATTAATAATAATCTAAATCCTGTGAAAATCAGCTGCTATTGCAGATATAGATATTCATACATGTGAATAAGTATGGTTTGCAGGTGCACAGTGAACTTGCCCTCTTTGACCTTTCTAGTATGGAAGATGGCAGCTCAGAAGCAGCCACTAAAATATCTATGTATATCTAGATATCTATGATCTATGCAGCTGAAGTTCAACTTACTGTATCCTGTAAAGAGCTTTCACATGACAAAAATTAATGAATAATAACTGTCAAGAAAACTATATTATTTTTTATTATTTTTACCATTAACCATTGCCTGGCTAAATGGTGTTTTGTTCCTGAATGATCTAGCATTTTGAAAGAAATGGTTGAATGGATTATTCAGTAACTTATGATGCATAAAGTCAATCACTTGCTGCCACTTTTAAGGTAATGAGAACTGAAGGGACAATGTGTTTAATCTAATTAATCCTAAAATTGGCTTAAATTTCTTCAAGCAAAATCTTATATCTTATTACTGTCTTTTGATTTTGAACATATTCTTGCCAGGTTTTGTAAGATGTATCAATTTACTATTACTACTACTGTTAATAAGAATAGACATGCTGACAACTACATGAGGGTGAGGGTGAAGACAGGCATCCAGAGCCAACTCTATTACAAATCGTTTCAGAATCATCCTATTTCTATCCCTTATTGACAAAGGGACTATTTATCATAGAAGAACTTGATCATAACTGACATAATCTGATTTTAGGTGCTCCTAACACATTTAAGCTTTTCCTCAATGGCTGTTTTTTTAATAGGCATAGTCATCTTGTGACATTTTTTATGATCTTTGATAACATCTTGAACAGGCTAACAGTTCATAAATACCCTCAGCAAAACTGCCCTTTTCAAGAAACATTGTTTTAGCAGACAGAGTTGTCATTGTTCAGTTATTAACCTGACATTTGATAATGAGAATGCCTCTACAATCTGTAGGACTATAGTTTCCACTGTAGTGGAAAACCAAAAGCAAGCATTTAAAGTCTATGTAATATATCTAATGACAGTCTCATTAAAAATCACCTCCATAAAAGGTGTTAAAAATGTTGGTAGCTAGGGCGTTCTGATGACACTAGCCAAAAATATAATTGTTAGTCATTATGGAACCACATACACACTGACTTGTGAGTAGTAATTTATTTTAAGTGGTTTTATTTAATATATTTTTGACATGTTACAGTGTTCAAATAATATATACTTTATGAATACAATTTACATGGAAAGTACCGCTTTAAGTTCTCTTGGATGCCAGAATGACAAAATAATAAAAAAGACATTTTGCATAACAGTGAATAGTACATTTCAGTAGTACTGGCCATTAGTCTGTTCACACAACACTCTGTCCAACATATTGAGACAACAAAATGAAATATAGTATTATTGCAAATAGAATGTATTTACAAAGTTTAATAAACACAGACGGACATTATTTAAAAACGGTCTGCCCTGAGAGAGAGTAAAATCCCTCAATTGTTTTAATAAAAACACATACATATGTACATTGTACTCCTCTACTCCATAATTTTGCCAACACATATACAATCTTTAAGTGTTTCAAAAAACAGAAAGAAAGACAGAGAAAATAATTGTTTTGACAGTTATTCTGATCGTTTTAGAAAGAAAGAGAGAGAGAAAGAGAGAGGGAGAGAGAGAGAGAGAGAGAGAGAGAGAGAGAGAGAGAGAGAGAGAGAGAGAGAAAGAGAGAGAGAGAGAACGAAAGAAAGAAAGAATTAATTCAGTTTGTTTAACTTACAAACTGTGCCAGGTTTACAGCGCACTGACTGAATCGTTTTGGTTTTTCGCCGCCAGTGATGTAGGTGTTTATTCACCACTGTTCAGCCTCCAGCGACCACAAGATAAACTCAACAAATGGTTTATAAGGACCTCTGCTGGCAAACACACCATACTACAATAAGAGGTATTCAAAGCAGACAGGTTTCAGATAGTTTTAAAGTCACAACACAGCAAAAATAATCCTGCAGATAAGATATACAAACATATACAAAAATAATCACGTAATACATTAGATTTTAAGGACTAAAATCTGAGGCACCACTGTCTCAATTCTCTGGCCAGACAGAAATGAGTTTAAATAATTAAAAATGAAAGACTGTAAAGGAATATAGATATATTTCCTGAGAATTTCCATTATAGCTACATAAAATAATTATGTCATATATACAAACATATTATTACAGTGTCCACAGTGCGTATTTAAATGGTGGTTAATATGTGCATTAACAAGAGTATTCATCCACGCTGGTTTTATAAGAACCAGGACAGGCCCAGTTCCAATTCAATCCAGTAATAACATCCCTTTCAAAGTACCAAACCATTATAGATGACTCAGGTTTTGATTCATAACCTGATTCAGATGTCCATAAATGATTATGATGATTAGTCATAAGTCCATAAAATTTGTCTCAGCTTGTCCACTGATTTATATTCAGTAGGATGTACCTCAGGCTTAACAACCAGTTATCCTTATCTCAGAAATATGAAGCGAACAACCCTCGCTCTACATACATATGATGCTCACAAACGTAATAAAAGAGCACTTTTGCCTGAAAGTGTATCTTAGCTTTATTGAGAGTCGATATGCAGAGTTGTAGTTTAAAAGTGGAAGAAGATAACTATGTAAATGGACATCTATTAGGCTGGAGTCTTAGGGTTAAACCTAGTCTCTGGGTTCAAGGCTGAGGTCCACTGAAAGTGGCAACAGGCAGACAAAGCAGAGAGCAGAAGGTTGGCTGCAGAGGCTGCATCTGAGATGAGAACACCCTTCCTTTCGTCCAATCAGTCGAACTATCTGATTTATAACAAACTGATACCTCACATCTGCAAAGAGAAAAAAAAAGTTTGGGGTTGTTCATGTCACTGTATAAATGTTCAGCTGAGTTTACATCCTAATAGTAATGCACTGAAAAACTTTACCGGTTGTTGGCCACAAAACTATTTTTATAACAAATATTTTTATTGTCTCTATGACAACTCTATGACAGAATTAACCATTTTTTCTTTGTGACAAACAGCAGTGGTCACTGAGTCACTATCAGTCTCGTTTCCATCTCACAGTAAAACATGAAAATGACATTTCATGATTTTGTTCCTCTTTTTTGTTTTGCTGGCTTAATGCAAGGAGTATTCCACGTTAAAACACAAAATTATTTTCTGAAATAACTCTTATGTTCACAAAGTCTGCATTTATTTAATAAAAAATATAGTAGTAAAACAGTAACAATGTGAAATATTCTTAAAATATAAAATAACTATTTACTATTTAATAGATTTTTAAAATGTAAATTAAAATAGCAAAGCTGAATTTTCAACAGCCTTCAGTGCCAATGATCCTTCAGAAATCATTCTAATATGATTTGGTGCACAATTAATATTTCTTCTCAAAGTTGAAAACAGTTGAGCTGCATATTTTTTTGGAAACAGTGATATAAACTTTTCCAGCACTTTTGAATGACTTTTGAATTGAAGTTCAAAAGAAACAGCATTTGTTTAAAATAGGTTTTTATACCAATGTGCTTTACAATGTTTTATCTGTCCCTTTTGTTCAATGCAATGCATTCTCGCTTAATAAATATGCTACACGTATGAAATAATGAATAAAATATAATGAATAATAATTTATTTATTTATACTGCATAGCAGTGGTGAACAGAGTACACAAATGTATTTAGGTTAAAGTACACAAACTCAATGACATATTGCTAAAAAAAAGTATTAATTATTAAAAGTATTTAATTATAATTTGGCAATTTCATATGTTCTTGTGGCTCATCTGGTAGAGCATGGTGCTATCAATGCCAAGGTCATGGGCTCAATTCACATGGAGCAGGTGTAAAAACCTGTCTGACAGTAAAAAGATTTACTGCATATACTTTTTAGCCAAACATCAGTAAAAAAAGCTAACAAAAACAAACTGTACCTGGCCACACTCTGTAAAATTTTCTTCTCATCTTGGTCCAGACAAACTGCGAAGGTGGTGTTGCAAGTTCCACTAACCTGAACCTTATCCACCTTTACCTGTGTGGTGGTCAGTTGCTGTAACACAAACGACAGCTTTATAAGAAAATTTCATCTGAAAAAAAAAAAAAACACTAAAATACTGCAACTTGAATCACCAGAACAACTTTCATATTCATAAACATTTGAGCTTAATCTATGCAATTATAGTAACATTGTTAATGTCTTTTAAATAGGTCTTGCAATAGGACATAAGCATATTTCCATATGATATTCATGATTTTCACTATTCTTCATTTATTTCAAATATCTGTTAAAGGGGTCATATGGCGTTGCTAAAAAGAACATTATTTTGTGTATTTGGTGTAATGCACTGTGTTTAAGGTTAAAAAAACACATTATTTTCCACATAATGTAC